CACCCACCCATCTCTACCCGTCTGTCCTCTCATCCACAGCCCACCCACTCACCCTTCCATCCACCACGTGTCAACGGATCATGCCTCCAGCCATCGCCTGCTCTCCTGTTACCTACTGGTCAAGCAGCAGTCCACGCCTGTGCTCCTGAATCCATCCATCCCACGTCTCCAGCTACCAAGGGTTATGCACACCCCCACTCGTCCAGCACCGCCCACACGCATCCATTCACCCTCCCATTCCTGCACCCAGCCACCCCATCACCACCTCTCACGTAGACCATGACTGATCTAAACCGGGCAGCACTTGACTCTCAGGGTAGAGACCTGCCTTTGACATGGCTGCCACCACCCTCCTTGGCTGAGACACACATGTGGCTGAGGAACTTTAGAGGGGCGTGCTAGGGTATGGGTGGTCTCCACTGGTTTGAATATTTGGAAACTGCAAGGCCCCTCTTTACTCCCCACTTTCCTCTCCAATACCCCACTCCCAGGCCCTCACTGCCACTGGCCAGGCTGGTGGAGGGAGCGGGGGTGGCAGGAGCCTTGAACTATGCTGCCAGGCAGGCTCAGACCTGGGTGATCCAGGGTATTTGGGCCTGAGAGGGTGGGATTGGGTCACATAACTCTAGGTGCTGGGATGAGGGACCTCAAGGCTTCCAGAGTGTGAGCAGAAACCTGGGTGTGGCTGTCAAACCCCTGTGTGCAAATGTGTGTGTGGATAAGGGGGTGAGGTAGGCAGAGGGACCGAACTGGGGGTGGAAGCCTCTGAGTCATTCGTTCCAAGATGAGTGTGTCACAGGGTCAACTGTTACATGTGGCTGAAAGAGGAGGTGGCTCTGCAGGCATATGACACATACGTAACTCATGTAATCATGCACAAGTTATTCTAGTGGAGACACGAAGGGCCCAGTGTGGGACCAGGATCAGGGCTCAGCAAGTGAACAGAATCAAGGCTCAGCATGTGACCAGAGTACAGGCTCAATCTGAGATTGGGATCTGGGCTCTATATGTGACTAGGATCAGGGTTCACTATGAGTCACAATTATGGACCTAAGAGGTCACTTTAGCTCGGCTGATGGTCACTGATGGCTGTCCCCTACAAACCACCCCACTTCCCCCCCAACAGAATCCCTCCCCAACACAGGGGCTCTTTCTCACCCAAGTGCACATATACAGGCCCATGCCAGCACAGACCCAATCCCCTGGCACACTGGTGGAAGCAGACCAGGGGCCCTGACCATGGTCCCCCTTTCAGGTCAACAGGGAAGCGCTTGGCTCCTGTGAGCTGGTTCATAGGGTGAGGCATGGCCCCAGCAGCTGCAGAGGCAGGAGCCACCCTGTGCAGAGCAGAGAGGAGGTGGGAGGCAGGGAGCAGAAGTCAGCGCCCCCGAGCCCCCCTCAGCCACCGCCAACGCTCTGGGACTCCAGGCTGCCCAGCTCTGGAGCAGACAGCCTCCACCAGCACTGAGCTTTCAGCTGGACCATGGGCCCTTCAGCACCTCACAGGTAACAGGTGTGCGGTGGGCCCAGCTCCCAGGGCTGCATCAGGGTCAAACCGGGAACCTGTGTGTGCAATGCCACTCAGAACCGTCCTCGAGGCCCTGGGCACCCCCCATGCCTGTGGGAGGAAGGGCAGGCGAGGCCACACCGATGCCCAGCACCCGAGGGCCTGACCACAGTCCTCTCACTGCCCCTGCTCCTCCCCAAAAGCAGGCAGACTCTGGCCACAGGGACAAGGAAGCCGAGGCTCCCAGGGTCCAGGGAAGCCCAAGCCCATAGCCTGGTCCCTGCGGCAGTGTCCTTGACTCAGCTGGGCTGGCCAGACCCCTCACGGCCTGCTGCTTGGAGCAATTCTCTACCAAGCGCTGAAGATTGTCTGAGGACTCAACCCCGGGAATAATCAGGAATGCGGGCGGAGCCGTTCCTGCGTGGACGTAGATGCTGGCTGCACTGGGCTTATGACAGTAGAAAGTGGGGGGCTGGGGGGCCGCCCCTGGGAGCTGCAGCAGCCAGTGAACAGCCCCAAGGGAGGTTTCTAGGCTGTGGCAGGGGCTTGTGGTAACGTCAGGGGCGAGGCAGGATCAACCTGCAGCCGCAGCACCCCCTCCACCCCTGAAAATGCAGAACTCCAAGACACCCCAGAATGGCCGCAGGGGCCAGCCTTGGTACTGGGGGTACCGGGCTTTTTTTTCTTGCTTTTCCTATCCTTTTCTGATTACCTATTTTGTACAAAGAACTTGTGCCGCCTGCAAAACCTGGAGAAAAGCATCAAGCAGCAACCAAAGCCAGAAAGCCGGCTTCCCAGGGCTGCAGGGCCATCCCAGCTCTCCCCGCCCAGACCCCGACCCCCAGACCCACAGCAGGAAAGGCCAGCAGTAGGGGGAGGTGAGGGCGTGGCCCTGCACATTCCTGCAGTCTGTTCCTTCCGCCAAGACGCTTGTCCCCAGACACCCATGTGCACGGTACTACAGGTGCCGGGCCTCTGCCCAAACGTGACCTCCTCATGGTGGCTGCCACAGTCCTGCTCCAAAACACTCCACCTGTCACCAGACACTGCTTGGCACATGGCATGACCTAACATGGGTGGATGGTTGAATGGTGGGTGGCTGGCTGGCTGGCTGGCTGGGTGGGCAGGTGGGTGGGTGAATGGATGGTGGATGGACAGATGAGTGGATGGTAGGTGGACAGGTGGATGACTACCCCACTGCCTCAACAACTTCCCGAGTCATGACACATGGCTGTCACCGTCTGGCCTCCCCATGCCTCTCTGCACATACAACCTCCGTGCTTTTGCTCAAGCTGTGCCTGTTCCTGAAATGCCTTCCTCCCTTCACTGCTGGCCAAAGCTGTCCTCCTCCAGCTCCAGCCACTCAGGAAGCCTTCCCTGGCATCCCAGGATACACAGTCACCCTTGCACTTCCTGCAACTTGAGAGACTGCTGCACGTACCACCAGTGCCCGGGCAGCCAGCCAGCCTGGCGGAGGGGTGCAAGGAGGCCTGGGGTTGACCATGCCAGGGCAGTGAGGGGGGCCAGGGTTGAGGGAGGTGTTCAGAGGGGGCAGGTGGGCAATGGCCAGGACACCCAGCTCCCTGACCACAGCCTCCAACCCACAGGCCAGAGCCCCTGCCCACCTGGCCTGTCACAATCCTGCCACCAAGCTCTCTCCACCCATCTCCCCAAATCCTGACCCTGCTTCACCTCTGGGGTGACTCTTCCTTCTGACTAAATGAGGCATCCTTCTCACTCCCCCATTAGCCTTGTGGTCTGGGAGGTCACCGCTCTGGCATGCCCAGGCAGGGCCCTATGATTGCACACCACCGCCTGGCCACTCTGGGCAGAACCTCCTCCAGGCATTGAACAAGCGTCAAGTTTGTCCTTGTGTGCCACAGTGCCTGAGACATGCACCTAACGGGCTTGATGAGGAACCGAGTGCGTGACCACAAGGCCACCCTGACTGGCCCAGGGCCCCCACACCCCATCTGAGTACTCTCAGTCTGCAATCCCGCCCCAAGCTGCCCTGTCCGGTGCAGTGATGCTGCCCAGCTCCGCGGCACCTGGTGCCCACCTGCAGACCTAGGATGCAACCCGCTCTGGGCATGGGGGGGCCAGGATGCCCTGCCCCATCACCTGGCCCAGGGCTGGACATGCACGTCCCTCCCCTCCCCTGAACTGGGGGGGTTGGCAGCGGGGCCTGGTGGGCTCCAGAGGCAGACCTAGACAGGGAGTAGGCAGGAGGACCAAGTGAGTACACAGATGGATGGGGGTTGGGGGACAGTGGCCCCAAACCAAAAACCTACGCCCTTTCCCCATTGGCTCAGCCTTCCCCAGACCTCACCCCAGAGCTTCAAGACCACAAAACCCAGGTGAACTTACACATCTGTCTCATCCCACAGGATACAGGTCTGGTTGGTGGTGCCCTGGGAGAGAAGAGGAAGGAGTCAGTGCCTCCACCCACCCCAACCAGCCCCCACCCGCGGGTCACCGCAGGATCCACCCACGGGCGTGCTAGGAGCCCTGACTAGGTGGTTCCCCCAAGAGACTGCATTTTGTAAGGAGGAAACTGAGGCCTAAGTGGAGATGGAACTGGCCCAAGGTCACTTGGGCCTGCCTCAACTGCCCACTTCCCACTGTATGGCCTTGGGCAGCATCTGTCCCCTCCCAGAGCCCAGGTATGATGGCAGGGCTGGGCAGCAGTGCCCGACACCCTTCCCTGATACAAAGTGGGTGATCAGCGTCAGGCACACCCCCCCGTCCTGCCCTGATATCCATGGTCTCATGAACTACGTCCAAGGGCACTCATGGGGCGCTGTCCCTGCCAGGCTGGCTGCTCACCAGCACTGCAGGAGGGGCGCACACAGCAGGCGCACCGGCGCTCGTGAGGGGAGGCGCTCTGAGCACTTATGGAACCGCCTAGTCCTTACCCAACTCTGTTTGTTCCCATTTGATAAGGAAGGGAGCTACAGCACAGAGAGGTTGAGCGACTCCCCCAAGGTCACACAGCTGGGAAAGGCAGGGCTGGGTTCTTCCCACAGCTCCCCACAGCCCGGGCCCGGGGTTCAAGGCCTGGTGCTGCCCTGGCCTAGCTGGGTAACCTGGGTGCCTCACCCCCTTGGGGTCCTGCTCTGAGCCCACCTAAAGTGCATCTCAGCCCCTACTGCTCGGAGGTGCAAGGGATAGCGCCAAGGAGCAGGAGCAGGGTTGCTGCAGGAGCTCCAACTGCCACCTCTCTGAGGCCCTGGGTGGGCAATGACGGTACCCACGGGCCCCACCGAGTCCCGCCAGGTTTGTGTGCAGACCCTATGCTGGGCGGTTGGGGACTGCATTGGGTCACACAGTGGAAACACCCTGGAACCCGGAGGCAGCCCAGGGGTGCTGAGGCGATGCTCTTGGCACTAAAATCCAAGACTGCTGGTGAGGCCTAGAAGTCTGCTCCAGGGGCTCTGGCAGAGGGTGTCCCCTGCACTTCCCAGCCTCAAGGGCTCCCTAGGGGCCGCAGGGGTAGTGGGTCTGGGCGGTGGGGGCAGCCAAGAAGATGGTGTGAAAGGAGACAGGGCCCAGTCACACACGCCAGGGGTGAAGGGGACTGTAAGCATGGACAGGCGGGCTCCGTTTCCCAGAAGGAAATGGCCTTCTCTTCCCCAAAGGAACCCAGCTAAGAAGGCCAGGGTGGGCAGTGGTTAGATCTCAGGTGGTGGGGTCAGACATGGGCGGAATTTCAGCACCACATCAACAGGCTGTGTGATCCTGGGCAAGTCACCACACCTCTCTGAGCCTCAGTTTCCCCACCTACAATTCAGGGATAAAAGCAGCTCTCCTGCAGGGCTGTTGTGAGACCCTAAAGGGCTAATGCCTGGGAAGTGTGAGCACAAATGCTCTACTCTTGGGATCAGAGAAAAATCACATGCACACGTGTGCACACACGTGCCAACGTGCACACACAGACGGCACTCACATTGTACATGTGGGCAAACTCGATCTCCAAGGGTGTGAGGAGGGAGCGAGGGGGAGGCTTCACAGTCACCGAGATGACCTTGGAGTTCAGGACAGTCGTATTCCTGGTGGAGCCACAGGAGCAGCAGCGGTCAGAAGACTGCTAGAAGCAGCTAGCCCAGAAGAGCCTCTCAGCTCCTACTCCAGACCAGGCCCAACCCCCGGCCCCTTCTCCAAATGCCCCCCAAGGCCCCCTCCATGCCCAACCCATCGTCCACCTCCTCCAGGCCAGCCCCTGGGCCCCCTCCCACCCCGCCTGCCCCACGTTGCCCACCTCTGCAGGGCCAGGAAGCTGCCTAGGTTTCTGTAGAGCACGGTGCCCACCACGAACACAGAGGAGTCATCGGCCTCTGGAAGAGTGTGCTGTTACCCCCAACCTTGTCCCTGCAGCTCGGGGCCAGCCTGGACCCTGCCTTGTTGGCCTCTACTGTCCCCTCTGCAAAGTCACGTCACCATCTGATCCATCCCCACCCACAGACGCTGCAGTGGAGGAGCTGGGGCCACTGCCTGGGTCCCAGGTAGGAAGAGGGGGAAGCTGGGGCCCTTCCCCGGAGTGACCCCCAAGAGTTGTAGGGCAGGCAGGATGCGGCTTCTCTTCCTGGGAACCAGAGTCCTTGCTGTGTGACTCCAGCGAGTCCCTTTCCCTCTCTGCAATGAGGTGGTACGTGCGTCCACAGGCACTGCCCCCAGGGAGGGTAGGGAGGGCTTTCTGGAAGAGGGGACAACCTCGGGACAATAAGAAGTAGCAGGGATGCCGCCCTATCTCTTGAGGTGGCAGGCTAGACTCCAGCAGGGACTTCTCAGGATGGCCGGCCCCCAGACTCCGGGGACTGAGTCTCCTGTGAGGGCCCCTCCCACTCCCCGGGGCCCCTCACCTGCCAGCCCCGTGGAGAAGACGCTCTTAGACACGGTGACCCTGTCCTCCGGCACCTTGGCCCAGTCGCCCGTGGCCCGCCAGCCCTTCATGGGGAAGCTGATGTCAGTGGCTCCGCTGGCTGGGAGCTTGTGGATGCTGAGGACTGGGGCAGGGCGGGGGGCAAGAGATAGAGAGACAGAGGGTCACGGGCAGGAGCCTCGGCTTTGGGGAGCAGGCCTGGGGTGCAGGACGACGGCACAGTGTTGCCCATGGCTCATGGGGTGGGGCGCAGTGGCCAGCTGCTGCCTGGTGTTCCCTCTCAGCCGCGGCCCACAGTCCCAGCCTCGGCACAGGCTGCAGACCCCACCCTCCATGCACACGGGTCCTACGCAGGCCTCCAGCTCCCTGTCTGGGCCCTGTACCCAGAGCCCAGCGGGGTGGCAGATGGGCACAGTGGGGGGCAGCAGATGTGGCTGGGCTGGGTCTGATTGGAGCCCCCAAGAGCAGGCCCTGGTCCTGATGATTGGGAACTGCGAGGGGACCCTGCCACAGCCCCTGTGAGGACCTAGGCCCAGGTTCAGCTTCCTGGGCTCCCGGAAGGTGATCAAAAGCAGGTTCTGGGTCAATCTGTGGTTCCAAGGGATCCACTGGGAGTGCTGTGCCCACCTCAGCGTCCCTCCCTCCTGCCTCCCAGACGCAGGCGCCAGCTGTCCCCTCCTGTTAACCCTTCCAGCTGGGGGATGGGGACAGAGTCCGGCTCACGGGGCTCAGAGACACTACGTGGACAGCAGGTGCAGAGGTGGAGTGAAGCTGACCCGAGCTTCCTTTCCCGTTCCGGAAAGGGCCCCTCTGCACCAGGTGGAGGGGCTGGGTGGTGGAGAGGCAACGGGTTTGGGGAGAAACTGGAGGGCGGAGAGCTCGATGGGAAGCAGATGCGGCCAAGAGATGGCCCAGCTCGCGCCTCAGGGACGCAGCCCGAGTCGGGCGCTGTCCAGCCTCCAGGCTAGGTGTGGGCTTCCTCCTGGCCTCAGAGCAGATGCCCTGGGAGGGGGTGCACTACCCACGTCCCCCTTCACTCCCAGCCTGCCCACCCTGACAAGCACTGTGCCCCCTTCACCCATCAACCCATGGCTTGCCCGGAGCCTGCCCGGAGCCACCCACATTAGATGTGGGGAGAAGAGGAGAAGGGCTTGGGAGCCACTGTGCTCTGCCTGTGCCCCTGTGCCCCAGGCTCCCCTGCCCCAGCCCATTCCCACCTCCGCGCCTCTGTGGGTGTGGTGCCCCTTTCCACACACCCATGCCTGCCATGCCTGGCTTGGCTCGGCGAACTCGCCCTGCCCTCCCTACCCATCTGGCCTTGCCCTCCCTGCATGTATGTGGTCACCTCTGGGACACAGGGCATCTTCCTACAAGATCCCCTGGGGACAGAGACAGGGACAGGGACAGGCCTTCCTATCTGAATGCCCAGTGCCCAGCGCGTGGCCAGCCCTTGTTGCTGTGTGCTTCGCCAGAGAAAGAACGAATGGACAAATGCATTCACTCAGCACATTTACTGAGAGCCGACTGTGTGCAGGGACTGCTGTGGACACTGAGGCTGCAGAAGAGAATGAGACAGACGGAAGCCTCTGCTGGAGCTGACGTGAAGCGGGGACACAGAGGAAGCCAGGCAGGGAAGAAGATAGAGGGTCTCAGGTCTACGGGGCAGCAGAGACCATGGGAGGCGGGGTCAGGAAGTGCTCCCTGCAGAGGGGAGGTGACATGTGGATAAAGACCTGGAGGAGATGGACCGAGCTCGAGCTCGCTCGCTCGTTCCTGGATGGAGCGGCACATCCCAGGAGCAGAGAGAGTGGGGGGAGGGGGAGGGGAGAGGACGAGGTTGGGCGGGCGGAGCCCGAGTCAGGGCGGAGTGAAGGGAGGGGCTGGTCCCAGGCCCTGGGCCTCCGTGGGAGGGGGTGCGATGGGGTTAGGAGCTGGCACAATGGTCCCCTGGAATGAGGCTTGTGTCCTGGCGGGGGGTGGGGGGGGCGCAGGCAGGGGGGGGCGGGGCTCAGTGTTCTGGCAGGGGGGGCAAGATCAGGAGCCTCGGGTTGGGGGGGTGGGGGGGGCGCAGGCAGGGGGGGGCGGGGCTCAGTGTTCTGGCAGGGGGGGCAAGATCAGGAGCCTCGGGTTGGGGGGGTGGGGGGGGCGCAGGCAGGGGGGGGCGGGGCTCAGTGTTCTGGCAGGGGGGGCAAGATCAGGAGCCTCGGGTTGGGGGGGTGGGGGGGGCGCAGGCAGGGGGGGGCGGGGCTCAGTGTTCTGGCAGGGGGGGCAAGATCAGGAGCCTCGGGTTGGGGGGGTGGGGGGGGCGCAGGCAGGGGGGGGCGGGGCTCAGTGTTCTGGCAGGGGGGGCAAGATCAGGAGCCTCGGGTTGGGGGGGTGGGGGGGGCGCAGGCAGGGGGGGGCGGGGCTCAGTGTTCTGGCAGGTGGGGCAAGATCAGGAGCCTCGATTTGGGTGACTTGGGCTTGTTGCCTCTGAAATGCCCTTAGACACCCGGGGCAGCAGGAGACGCCTGGTCTGGAGCTCGTGGGAGGTGAGGCTGCAGATGGGCCCTGCAGCGGGCAGGGCGCTAGGGTGTTTAAGGCCATGACACCAGGCGAGGCCACAGGGGCAGGCGGATCCAGGGCAAGGGCTCAGGGGAGCTGGGGCCTCCACCTGGAAGTGCAGGTGAGGAAGAAGATGAGCCAGGGTGGTGGAAGGGGCTGGCCCAAGCCAAGTGGAGGTGGGGGAGGGAGGTGAGGAAGAGAAGGAGGGGAGAGGAGGAGGGGGAAGGGAAGCAGTGGAGGGAGGAGGTGGCAGGAGCGATGTCCTCATTCTCAAGTGGACGAGGGGGCGGGAACCCAGGACGGCGGGGTCATCGCGGGAGCAGTGGAGGGCTGAGCAGGGGCAGGTGTGCTGGCACGTCCTCTCCCCTCGGGGAGCGGGTAGAGGGCTCAGGGCTGGGGGCTGGGCAGAGAAGCAGGGTCCTGGACAAGTGGGAATGTGCCAGAGAATGCAGTCCGGGCAAGGTCGTGGGCACCTCCACCGCCCGTGAGAGGGCAGGGACCTGAGGGTGCTGCAGGGCGCTGGACTGACCTGGAGGGAGGAAGTCAGGACCCAGGGGGAGGCCACGTGGTCCCAGGACTGCACACTGGGGATGGCCCGGGGAGGCTGCTACTAACCGGACCAGTAGGTGTCCGGGTGTTCCCGGAGGAGTCCAGGGAACTGAGGGGCCACACAAGACTGACACCGAGAGGTGGACAGAGTGCCCTGACTGAGGAGCTCAGGCTGCCCAGGACCGAGGGGGAGTCTACTATTGATAAGTGTGGGGTCCCCAATGGCACAGGGGATGGGCCGAGGGGCAGGACAGATGCATGGGGTGCATGGAGTGTGTGGGGGCTCTGGGGTACGTGGGCATATGGGGAGAGTGGGATGTAGACATTGTAGGGATTGCAAAGGGTGTATGAGATTATGGGGTGTGTGGGTGAACAGGATGTATGGGAAATGAGGGGTGACCAGGAGGAGCCCAGAGCCTCTGGTGGGGACAAACGGCTGTCCCTGATGTCCACAGGCTCAGAACAGGCTTCCTGAGGCAGGAGGTCTGTGCCTGTCCAGGAGCCATGGGCCGTGCCGGGTGCCCTGGAAGCAGCCACAGTGAGGTCCTGGGCCAGGAGAGGTGAGAGCCCTGTCCCTCACCCACTCCCCAAGAGGGCACAGAAGCCCGCTCCTCTCTGGGCCACTTGCATCTCACCTAGAAATCCAGGCCTGGGAAGGAAGGGAGCAGTCTCAGAAGGTGACACTGGGCTGGGAAGTCTGAGGCCAGCAGGCCTGGAGCCATGGCTGACCCCATATGCCAGCCAGCCTCTGACAGCAGCCAGGCCTGAATCTCCCCCTCTGTGACATGGGCTCTGTGCGAGCTCTGGGGCCCCAAGCTCCTAGGGCAGAAAGCAGTGCCAGTGCTCGGGACCTCCAGCTTAGGAAACATGGGCCCAGGCCAGGGCAGCTGTGTGTGCCTGCTGCCACCAGGGCGTCAGCGTGGCAGTTGGTTGAGGTCCCAGGGTGTGGGTGCTCATGAAGCTCAGCTGATTGTGGTCACATCCTAAAGGTCAAGCATCCCCACAAGGAGGTGACAATCTCCCTTGGTGCTGTTTGGATCACAGCTGGGGCCAGTGCCCACTCCTGGGTCTCTCTTTACGAGGGGGGTCCCTGACCAAGGCAGGGAGGGTTTGGGAAATGTGGCCCACTAGAGGAATGGGAGGGGAATGCGGTGATAGTCATTAAATAGAACTGTTGTGCCTGTCCCTAGTGATAGCCACCATTCGCTCCGGGCCCTGGGCACATGTTCATCTCATTTTCTGCTCTCCATGTCCCCTGGGTGGGCACTGTTACTAGCCCATTGTAGAAATCAGAAAACTGAGATTCAGCAACACCAGGGGATTGGGTAGAGTCCAGGCCCCTCTGATGGGTGCCCCTGGAATCAGAGGGCAGAAAAGTGTTGGCAGCACAGACCCCACCAGCACATCTCTGCACAGACAGCACCTTGGGGGGACGGGTAGAGGCGAGCTCCCAGCCCAGGGGTGCAAACAAGGGCCAGGGGCTGTGGGGTGGGGCTCCTGGGTGTGTCCAGAACTGGAGGTCTCCAGGCCCTTGTCTGGGTCTGAAAGCGCCCCACACCCCCGGGTCATATCGTCCATCTGCCAGAGACTTGGTCTGTGCACGCAGAACTGATCTTAGAACCAGCCCAGAAAGGACCCATGGAAGGTGTCTGGTTGCTGCCTCTTTATATAGATGAGGAAACCGAGGCAGAGGGCCCTGCCCAGGGCTGCAGAGCAAGGGCATGGGGGTGGTCAGCAGAGTGAGAGATAGGCTTACCCAGGTTGTCTGTCACCTGGTATGCATCCCTCAAGTCCTTCATGCGGAAGCCGATGACATCCACAAAGTCCTCCACCAACCGGAACAGCTCCTTGGCATTGGGACCCATCTGGGGGAGCAGAAATGCCACTTTCAGGGATCAATGAGGACACCCGCACCCCAGCTGGGGACACACTTGTGCCCTCCCTCAGCCATCCCCCTCCTCCCTTTCTCTGCTCCCTCTTCCTCTGGGTCCTGCGGGTCACTTCCTCACACTGCAAGGAAGCAGGGGTGGTGGCCTCTGCGGTGCCACACCCACATGGAGGGTGAGAAGTTTGAGGCCCAGAGGAGCTCCTGGGCTCTGGCCCAGGCTGAGGGGTCTCTGGGTACCCACAGTCCCTGCTGGGCCCTGACCTGGGGTCAGGTGTGGTGGCAGGTTCAAGGTCAGCCTGGAGGTAGGGAGGCTGACCTCCCTTTCCAGCTGAGAAAGCCCACCATGCCCCAGTCGCCTCGACAGGCACTGTGTGGTAAGCACATTTTCCCACCCTCTCCCTGACCCCACTGGATAAGCTCTTGTCTTCTGATGGATGAGGAAAGGGAGGCTCAGAAGGTTAGGCAGCGTCCTCCAATCTCACTCTCAGCAAGAGGCCGTGCTGGGATTCCAGCCCGGAGCCATGCACAGCACCCTGTGGGCCCCAACCCAGGCTAGCCTGGAACTTAGGGCAGCACCAGAGATGCCGGCACCCATCCTGACCACCAGGGCCCAGCCCCAGGTCCATACCAGCTGGGCCTCCTCCCACTTGTCCCGGTTCTCCTCTGCCAGCAGGTTGCTGATAATCTGGACAAAGTTCTGTAAAGAAGAGGAAGAAGGGCTGGTGAGAAAGAACAAGGCACCAGAATCATGGCTCAGTGTGCAACCAGGGTCAGGGCTATGTATGTGACCAGGGTCAGGGCTCAGTGTGTGACCAGGGTCAGGGCTCAGCCTATAACCAGGATGAGGGCTCAGTGTGTGACCAGGGTCAGGGCTCAGTGTGCGACCAGGGTCAGGGCTCAGTGTGCGACCAGGGTCAGGGCTCAGCCTATAGCCAGGATGAGGGCTCAGTGTGCAACCAGGTTCAGGACTCAGTGTGCGAGCAGGATCAGGGCTCAGCCTATAACCAGGATGAGGGCTCAGTGTGCACCCAGGGTCAGGGATCAATGTGTGACCAGGGTGAGGGCTCAGTGTGCCACCAGGGTCAGGGCTCAGCCTATAACCAGGATGAGGGCTCAGTGTGTGACCAGGATCAGAGCTCAGCCTATAGCCAGGATGAGGGCTCAGTGTGTGACCAGGATCAGGGCTTAGCCTGTGACCAGGGTCAAGGCACAGTGTGCAACCAGGGTCAGGGATCAGTGTGCGACCAGGGTCAGAGCTGTGTGTGTGACCAGGGTCAGGGCTCAGTGTGTGACCAGGGTCAGGGCTCAGCCTATAACCAGGATGAGGGCTCAGTGTGTGACCAGGATCAGGGCTTAGCCTGTGACCAGGGTCAGGGTACAGTGTGTGACCAGGGTCAAGGCTCAGTGAGCAACTAGGGTCAGGGATCAGTGTGAGACCAGAGTTAGAGCTGTGTGTGTGACCAGGGTCAGGGATCAGTGTGTGACCAGGGTCAGAGCTCAACCTATAACCAGGATGAGGGCTCAGTGTGTAACCAGGATGAGAGCTCAGTGTGTGATTAGGATGACAGCTCAGTGTGTGACCAGGATCAGGGCTTAGCCTGTGACCAGGGTCAGGAATCAGTGTGTGGCCAAGATTAGGGTTCAGTGTGTGATCAGGGTCAGGGCTCACCCTGTGTCCAGGATCAGGGCTCAGTCTATGGTCAACATTGGGGCTCAGTCTCTGGCTGGGGTCCAAGATCACTCTTAGACACCCTCCCTGGTGCCCCTCCCCCTGGACCACTCTCCTGGGAGCTCACCTGCACGTCCCCGGGGGTGGGGCTGTAGTACGCTCTCCGAAATATCTCCGTCATGTTCCTCAGGACGTCGATGGTGGAGAGCAGGTCCCCACTGTAGCTGGTCCCATCCTGGGAGATCTCCACCAGCGTCTGGATGACTTCTGAGACCCCCTCCCCTGGCAGCCCTCGCTGAGCCTTGGCCAGATGCTCCCTGGTCTGGGGAGAATGGAAGGGGCTGGATGCCATCACCTCTGCAGGACACGTCCATGCAGGTATCAAGGACCTCCCATACCTAGAGGACCCTCTGCAGCCCCAGCCTCACATCCAAAGGGTAGGTGTGCTATGCGACAGGACTTCTGGGGGACAGAGAAGAGGAGGGACCTGGAGTGAGGGGGGCGGGTGGGGCTGGAGACCCCCAGGGCAGGCCCTCACCATCATTTGGATGTTGCGGTAGTCAATGGAGACACAGCGGATGTAGGTGGGGGTCTCCCAGTACGCAATGCCTTCCTCGTCCAGCTCACAGCGGCGCAGGATGAGGCCTGGGGGGACCTCCTGCTTCTCAGGTGGACGCTCACTGCCTGGCACAGGGATGCTGTCCCCGCTCCCAGGCAGGAGCCCCTCTGGCTGGGCCCCTGCAGCTCCCAGACGCAGAGACTCGCCCATGGGCACGTGCTGAGAGCAGACTTGGCGCAGGGCCCAAGCCCACTGCATTCCCTTCCCTCGATGCATTTCCGAGCCGCTACTGAGCACCTGTGCCAGGGCTGGGCACCTGGCAAGTGTCAAACCTTCAGGGACCCCACTGCGTGGAGCCTTGTCTGAGTTAATCCAGGGCCTCCCTCAGAGCTCCTTCCAATCCAGAGCCCTGGGGAGAGCTGCTCCCTACATCTGCTGCCTGGCTGTATCCACAGGGCTGCAGGGCCCTCGGCCTGGGGTCACTGTCACATCCCTGTCACCCAATAGGAACCACAGGCCACTGACTTAGATGGGGCCAGTAGTGAGGGTCCCTGGGAGACACGGCACACGTGCAGACAAGAGCCAGGGAAGGCACGCCGCTGTGGACGTTTATTTCTTCACTGTGCGCGTCTGGATTTGCAATATGCTACTGAGAGCCTGTACTGTTCTGTAAACAAAACGGGGGGCGGCAGCCACCATGGCTGGCCGTACATGCACCCCCTGCCGTCCCTGCCCCACGTGGACCACCCCCCCACCCCCCCAAGCAGCTCTGGGCTGAGGGACCATAAGGTCCTCGTATAGATGAGAACACTGAAGCTCAGAGAGGTGAAATCACTTCCTGAGTGTCACACAGCAAACAAGGGCAGAGCCAGGATTTGAACCTGGGCTCCCAACCTCCCTGCCTGCTGCCTCTCAGGCCTGTAAGCCACACACACTTTTCCAAACAGGAGCGGCAAAGACCACACCCTGGTGTGGCCAAGCCCCTCCCCATGGAGCCAATCTGTGGTCTCCACACCCTCTCACCACCTTCAATTGCTCCTCAGGGCTGGCATGGGGGTTAAGACCACTGGCATTCAAAGAGGACGCCCCACTTACTGGCCCTGAAGGCCCAGGGCAAGTGTGTTAACTTCCCTGTGCCTCAGTTTCCCTGTACATGGGCTATGGACTGTGGTGACTTCATGGGGTTGTAGAAACCCAGTGGGAAAAGGCCTGTAGAAGCAGCATTGGATTGTTGCGTAAAGGCTTAGTGAGTGCTCAGGACACTGGGGGCTGCCTGTGTCCCCACGCGGTGTGCCAGGCTCCCAGCCATGCTGTGCCTGCATCAGCGTACACACGAGCTGTCTGGGTTCCACATCTGGGTGGCGTGCCCCGTGCTGACAGCCCCTCAGGAGGGACCTGAGGGGGCATCTCAGCGTCTCACATACATCGCCATGAGGACAGAACCCCCCACACCACATGTTCTTCGGCCCTCACCTGTGGCATTGCGGGGACACCGGACTGCAGCCACCTCTCCTGCCGGGGTCTCTTTCCAGATCACCGCACCGAAGTTGTCCTCGTCACAGATCTCATGGGGCTCTGCCCAGGACCAGAGACAGTGAGTGGGGGCAGGGGGGATGGGAACACGGGGCCGAGAGCTGGTAGCAGGCTCAGGAAGGCCAGGACCCCACCAACACGTCTACTGTCACAAGCAAGCCCCGAGCCCACCCGGTTGCTCCCGGCCTCTCCCTGGAGTGCAGCGGAGGTGTGGGAGGGGTCTCACCGGGACACCGCTGGGTGCCACACTGCCGGTACTCATCCTGAGGCCCCTGACAGGTGGCTCCCCCGAAGAAGGGCCCAGAGCAGACACGCTCCCGCCGCTGGCTGCCACCCCCACACGTGACGCTGCAGCCGCCCCAGGATGCCCAGGCCTGCCACTTGCCATCCACTGCGGGGTGGCCAGACACGGAGGCACAGGCGATGCAGACAGGGAGACACAGGATTCCATGACACACGTACAGGGACAAGGGGATAGGGAGAAACAGGGCAGGGTGCCACAAGCAGAAAGGAAATTGAGACCGGGAGAGGAAGAACCAGAGATCAGCCCAATATAGAATAAAACAAACACCTTAGGTAGGGCAGTTCCACCATGACCACCCCAGACCACCCCCCCGCCCCACCGCATAGCCCGCTGCCCTGTGGCCACATGTCAGGGCCCACAGTGACCCCCAGTGGGGCCTGACCCCTCCATGGGGCTCTGCCTGCGAGGTCCCCGCCCCTGCCCAGGCGGCCCTGACCTGGGCACTGCTGCAGGAAGCAATCTCGCGTCTCCACCCAGTGGCCCTGGCACTCGGCGCCCCCGTAGGAAGGCCCGTTGCACTCGCGTGTGCGCTGCTGCCGGCCCTGGGAGCAGCTGGCGGAGCAGGCGCTCCAGCTCGACCACTCATTCCAGTTTCCATCCACTGCCCGGCCCGGGGGAGGAAGGGGACAGGAAGCCAGCGTGAACACCAGCACCTCAATGCTGGCCTCAGACACGGGATGAAAACCCCGGGAGCCACCACCCAGCACCCGGCCTGGGACACAGGTGAGAATGTGCCAGGCTCACCCTTCAGCCTCCACCTGGGCATCATCTGAAGTTGGGCTCCTGGAACTGGCCAGTGACCCTCTGGGCCTCCCCCTTTCCTCTTTCCCTCCCCCCCCACCTCAGCACCCTCCCTCTCACCTACCAGGGCACAGGGCGATGTTGCAGAACTTGGTTTGCTTCTCTGGGCCCTCACAGGGGTTGCCTCCAAACTGGGGGGGTCTGCAGGTGCGTGTGCGGTCCCGAAAGCCACGGCCACAGGTGCTGGAGCAGAGACTCCAGGGTGACCACTCGTCCCAGGCGCCATGCACTGTGGAGAAACAGGTGCTGCAGCCACTGCCCCGCCCCCAGTCCTGCTGCCCCGGCTCCTAGCGGACCCCAGCCCCGTGGCCCCCACCTGGACACACGGCCGAGGTGTTGCAGAGCCGCTGCTCCCGCAGGGGCCCGCTGCACTGCGTGCTGTAGGAGGAGGACACGCAGAAGCGCGTGCGCGTCTGCCAGCCCTCGCCGCAGGTGCTGGAGCACACGCTCCACGGGGACCACTCCTCAGCCGCCGGGTCACCTGTGGGCCCAGACCAACAGCGTCACAGGCCTGCCCTGGCTTCTGTCCAAGAAGGCTGTGACTGACCCCTGAAGGACTTCCCAGGACGAGGGCCGCCCTGCCCAGCAGCAGGCAGTGGGGGCTGGAGTGGGAGCCTCTGGGCCTCAAACCTGGGCCGGTCTCAAGGACTGGCTCTTTTCCCCACAAGGCTAGGGGCCCCTGACAGGCCTGGACAGGCCCTCACACCACTCCCCACAAGCCAGTCTGCCTAGAGACAAGCTCCCGACACCTAATAGGTTAGTCTAATGGCAAGTTATTAATGTCATTACTTACGACTAGCAGCAATTACTAACTTATGGTATGTACCCAAAGACCTAGTCCCTGGAAATGGACCCTCCCCGATTCACAGTGTCAGTCTGTGCCTCGTCAGTCCCGCCCTTCCCACCCCCAGCTCACCCGTCTGGGGGGATGGGAACCCAAACTGCTGCAGCTCGTCGCCCAGGTCCTCGCGCCGCCGGGCATCTGTGGACCGCAGGGACTGGCTCCGGGAGCTGGTGCGCCCAGCAGCTGCAGAATGGGCTCAGGTCAGTGTCTCCGCCGAGGCTGGCGCTCTCTGCCCCGGGTCCCCTCTCTGTCTAGGTCACAGCAGGCGAGGCTTGCCAGCACCACAGTCGCCTGGCCCCACTGGTCAGATGGGAAACTAGGGACCAGAGCATCCGGCCTGGTGCCAACCCTTGTCTGGTTGCCTTGACCCCTTCCCTTGGGTCCTGTCTCCTCTGCCGGGCAGTGCCCCCCACCTCCAGGGCACACAGGCTGGTGGTCACTTGCAGGACAGCACCTCTGAGTGGCTGCTGCTCTGCCCTGCTCAACATCCCACCCGCTGTCCCTGCCTTCCTCCCGCAGTCTCACCAGACACCCCAGAACCCCCACCCCAGGCTCCTGAGATGAGCCTTCTCCCCAGAAAAGTGCATCCAGGAAAAACAATGGAAGAATGACAGTCTCATTATAACTAGATTTAGCTTTATGGAAGCAACTAAAGAATGCATGAGGTCATTAACGAGCCTTATTAGAGAAATGCATTCTGGAGGTAGGATCTGCTGGGCCTGGCTGGCCTGGTCAGGGCTCCCCACGTCGGGGGAGAGGGGTCCCGCCCCCCAGCCAGGCTTCCCCACGCACCCCAGAAATCCCAATCCGCAGACAAGAGGAAAGCCCCCTCTCGTCCCACCTTGCTGCACGTACCCGCCTGACCAGGCTGGCCCTCGCCCCTGTGGCCTCGACCCCAATTCAGACCCCGCTCCTCTTAGCCCAGGCCCGTCCTCTTCCCACCCGCCCACCGCGCACTCACGGCCGCAGGCCTTGCGGTTGCACAGGCAACCTTCCTCCAGCACCCCCTCGCAGCCACCGCCCTCGACGCCCTGCGCGGGCAGGCAGGTGCGCGTCCGTGTCTGCAGGCCTCCCCCGCAGTCCCGCGTGCACTCGCCCCACAGCGACCACAGCTTCCAGCCGCCTGGGGGGAGACCAGAGGACGGGCTCAGGGCAGGGCAGGAGGCCTGGCAGGGAAGCACCTTGGGGGACCCGGGACACGCTCCGGAGAGCTCAAGTCCCAGCGCGGCCGCCCCCCAGCGCAGCCCGGGCAGGTTTGCTGAGAGATGAACTGTGCTGAGCTCCCGCCCATCGCAAGGGCAGCCTCACACCCCGGGTCCCGGTATGGAGCTGAGGGCAGAGGGGCCTGCTGCTGAGGCTCTCACTCCTGCACACCTGCGCCCCTCTCCACCGGCCCTCAACCCCGTTTCTGGCCCAGTCCTTTGAGCCTCGTTTCCTCATTCACATAGCAGAGGGCTGACCCTGGTCATCCTGAGGCCTCCACATCCCCCACCTCAGCTGTGACCTGTGAGCCACAGAGTTGGCCACCCACTGAAGAGCCAGGAGACAAAGGCCTCTAGGACCTCCTGGCCACATCCCTGCCCTGACCCCAGACACCCTTCAGCCGTGTCATGGAGCTCCTCCACCCTGTGTTCCCCCACCAATCCCAACCTCATGCCCCAAGGGTCTTGGCTGCCCCAGCCATTAAGAACACAGGATGCTGGAGCACTAGGGCGCCTTAGAGGGCAAGGAGTGGGAGGTAGCTCCCATCTGTGGGCTGCACTGGAGGCTGCTGTGCCCAGGCCTCCTGCCCGGTCCCTCTCGCTGCACAACACCCTGGACTCTGCTATCTGTCCACTCTCAGAGCAGCAGGGTCAGATGGACTTGGAAAGGGGGAGCAACCCTCCCCAAGTGCTGACTCTTGGCCAGGCTCAGGGCCAGGCATGCAGCGCCTCTGGGGAGGGCACCTGGACACGCACCCACTTAGGAGGAGGTGAGGGGACAGCTGACAGCCTTGCCAAGCCCACCACTCAGACCTGCTGTCCAGCTGGGGCCACTGGCCCACGAAGCCTGCCGGGGAGCACCTAGAGCGAGCCTAGAGCAAGGGAGACCCCCCAGAGGCCACAGACCAGGCTGGCCAAGGGCCTCCAGCACTTCTTGGAACCTCCTGGCATGAGAACAAGGACTGCAGGACCCTGGAGGCTGGAAGGGAAATTAGCACCCAGAGCAGGGAGCCAGGGCTGCCCAGTTCACCCATAGCCCACCACCCACAATGGTGCTGTCTGTCACCTCCCAGCCTCACACCCTCATCTGCAAAACGAGGACAATGGCAGACTTTCCAGGACTGGTCGATGGGAGGAAAAATTTCAAAAAGGGCTTGGGAAGGATGGGGTAGGAATTGCCATCTGGGTTGGAGCTGACCCTGGGATTTTGCAGCAAACTCAAGTGTCCAGACCACTGGCACGGATCAGACCAGCAGGGGGCGCCAGGGGCAAGTGGATGGAATGTGGGGGAGGGACCCCAACGTCAGCAGCTGTGGGTGGAGACTCACTCCCTGCTGGGGTAGCTAGGGTGGGAAGGGGAGTCTCCCACGCCCCCAGCCTGTCCCTTCCCTCACAGAGCCCACCCTCCCATGGGTCTCAGAGAGCCAGAGCACCCTGCTGCCCCCACAGCATGCCAGGCCCGTGTCCAGGGGAGAAGGTGGGTGGGAGGCCCCAGCACATTCTCCACATGGGCAATAGGTGGGACAGGGCAGCACCTGCCCACAGAACAGGCGCAGGGGACCGGCTCTGAGGCCGTCTTGCTCCTTGCCCTTCATCATAGCCGTGTCACATGCCTTAACTCAGGACATGGAGAGGAACCAAGAGTTGAACTCGTGGTCAGATTCCAAAAGCCCCCCCTCACCCCACACTAGGACCACCTGCCAGGACTGACCACGGTGCAGGTGCTCGCCTGCCCAAGCCATCCCACCTGGTGAGTCTGACACAAAGGAGCAGAGAAGGCTGGAGTCCAGGGAGGCAGGCCTGCCGACAGGGTCAGGGTGGCACGTCCTGACTGTGTCCCCCTTGTCGCCCCGGCCCAGCCCCCACATGGAAGCCTGGGTGACGTGGAAACTGGCAGTGGGTGGGTGGGAGAGAGAAGGTGTCCAAGCCAGGCTAACGGAGGATGCCACTTGGTTGCCGTGGCAACTGCTGCAGAGCGCAGCCTTTCAGGATAGACCCAGGTTAGGCCTCAGCTGCCAAGACACCCACTATTTCAGGGCTGGTTACCTTGGTGACCCAGGTGGTGAAGATGTGGTAGGGGGAGGGGGAAGAGGCGGGGACACATCAGGAGAGGCTGGTGTGCCGTGACTGGTCACAGGCCCAGCCCTGGCCCTGGCTGCATACTGAACCCTGATCCTAGTCACAAACTGATTCCTGGCCCTCGTTACGCTGAGGCTTGATCCTCATTATAGAGTAAGCTGTGGTCCTGGACATAGGATTCCCGACCCCCCATCCCATACTGAGTCCTGATTCCAGTCACAGACTGATCCCCAACCTCGGCCACACTCCTGCCACTAACGAACACTTGGAAAATGGTGGCTGCTATTTTTATTATCGTTTTGTTTCTAGCATGTGTCCCCACACATAGCTGACACTCAGTAAATGTTTGTCAAGTGAATGCATCCATGCCAGAGGGGGAGTTACCCAGGAGGGCTCCTGGGGCCCGCAGTGCAGGGCATGAGGTGCTCGGGCACCCTGTCACTGGGTGGCCGCAGTGCGTCTGTGCTGGGTGGGCTGCAAGGGACAGCAGAGGAGCGTGCAGGCCTGGGGTGGGCCGCCCCTCAAGGCCCGGAAAGAAGCCGCCATTCTTCCCCCGCTCAATGCCCCTCTGTCTGGAAGCCTCATTTCCATCTCATTAATGGGATGAATAGAGCCAATGAAGGCCGCCAGGCAGCCCGGCCACCCAGGAGAGAGGGTGCATGATGAGGGGGCTCCGTCCTTCCCACCCCAGCGCCCCAGCCTGGAGGCTGCGTGCTCCCCAGATCCTGCACCCCAAGTACGCTGGGATGGGGGCACTGGGAGAGTCCCTCCCTCCAGCTGGGCGCCCCCAGCTTCCGGGACCTCCTGGAGGAGGGGAGCAGTGCACTTCCGTCCTCCTCCAGCAGAGGTCTCCCGAGACCAGCAGGTTGGGTGGCACCTGGGCAGCAGGTCAGCTCCTGCCCGCTCCCGCCCTGCTCCGCCAGGCACCCGCCGCATGGCACAGGCTCCCGGGAGGACCTCTGCCACCCCAGCCACCAAGGTAGGGCCTGTCCGGGGTTACCCAGATTTCTCTCCAGAGGCCCCTGCGCGGATGTGCAGACCAGGACCACAGAGGACAGGGTGGTCTCCCTGAAGCCCCTCCCCAACCCAGCCCCTGCTCCATAGCCCCTCGGCCAGTGGGTCCTGACTTAGCCCACCCTCTGCTTGGGCCAGTAGCTCCACTGTCAGTGCCCAAGTGCCCAGCAGCCCATCCAGCCACAGAGATGGGCACTGTTGAATCTTGGGATGGAGCTGAGAAGCCGAGCCCACTGCCCACGGGGTCACTTCCCAGACGAGGCCGACAAAAGCATGGGGCCTCCTGAAGCCCTGGGCCTCCCCTGATCCCGGTGGAGTCACCGTCTCCTTCAAGCCTCGTTTGGGCCTGGCCAGCAGGTGCCATTCCGTCCCCAATTCACAGACGGGAAGCAGGCTCGCAGAGCTGGCCGAGTTGGCTAAGCCTGCGGGGGCTCGGGTTTTCTTGTCAACTCTTTTTCAGCTGGGCAGGTGCCCTGTCCTGAGCATGGCGCCTTGTTCACAAGCCTGAGAACTCGGGGCCCATCCTGTATCCTGGGCAAGTCACCACCCTCCTTGGGTCTTGGCTGCCACTCAGGGTGGCAGAGGCTGCCAGTTGCTGACCCAACGCCCTTTTTCCAATCTTTCTAGGGAGTGGAACCCAAATCCAGGCCATGACCCCTGCCTCTCCCGTGGCCGGGCGCACGCGGGCATTCTTGTGCTTAGTTCCCTGGGGCCCCGTCCTGCCATTTCCATCTGCAGCAGGCATTGTCTACCATGGGCACTGAGCCTTCTTGTTTTCTAGATTTTTCTAAATTGGCCCTTGTACTAAAAGAGCTGCTCCCCTGGCTGAGATGACAAAGCCCCAAGTCCCTGACAGGGGAGCCTTGGTGCCTTCCCCAGTCTTCCCTCCTCCCTGTCACCTGCCCAAACCCACCTGGAGTCCAAACGCCACAGACTCCTCCTTCCTCATTCTAAGTGATGCCTTTGTAGCCTCTGTCTTAACTGCACCCCCCTGCCCTGGGGACCCCAAAGATGGCCTCCAGGCACTTCTTCCCAGGGACTTCATGGGACTCCTATGGTCGGGACTAAGCCCGACTCTCACTGTCTCCAAAAGCCTCATGGGGGGTGCGGGTGGGGATCACTGTCCAGGTGGGCCCAGGGCTGAGTGGTAACCATCCCTGGAGATAGTGCAGGAGGCAGAGGTCAGCTCAGCTCTGCAGGCCAGGCATGGCCCCTTGGCCCAGCATCACAGCCTCCCTCACCCCTGCATGACCCACGTGCCTGGTGGAGTGTGTGCGGGTTCACACCCAACACTCATGCTCCAGCCCAGCCCCCACCCCCACCTGTGCAGGCACACATGCAGACATACACACACACGGGGACACACACACACACTCGCTCCTAGCCCCTAGGACACTGCTTTTTCATTATCTTACATGTCGCTTCTGCAATAAAATTCTTTAATTAAAACATGAATATTTAAAACAAACCTTGAGAGAAAGGGCCCCGTCTGGCCAAAGGCAGAAAAACACAGAGAGACAATGGGAGAGGCTAAGGGACAAGAGACAGCACCAGGGGCCCAGGGTGGCAGTGGGAGCTGGCCGCCGCAGAGAAGGGCTGCCAGGCGGTGGAGGGGCAGAGAGAACAGTTGCCATGGCCCGAGGAATGTTTGCTGAGCCCGACACATGACGTGGCCATGTGGCATTTGGACAGGCCAGGTGGGGAGCAGGGCTGAAATGGGCCATGGGCTCGCCTCGGCGCCTGCTCACTCCCCAGCTCAGCCATGCGCTGCCTGCTGAGGACAGGGGTGGGTGGACAAGCCTGTCCCAGCCTCCCCCTGGCCGGCAGTGAGGGGGGCAACTCCTGGGCACAGGGCTCAGCAGGAAAGATGTGGGTGTCGGCCGCCTGCCCAGGTCAGCTGTGTGTCCTCTGGAGAGCTGCCTGACCTCTCCAGTCCTTCTGTCACCCCATCCCCATACAGACGTGTACACACACACATGCACACACACACATGACTAGCCGAACACATTGCAGGAGAAACCCCAGGCGGTTCCACCAGGTGGCCAAGAGGTGGCCCGGTTGGAGCCCCCTGGTGACACTGCCCATCGCTGCACCATCAGCCTACCACTTACGAGCTGGGTGACCCTGGCCACCGCCTATCTCTGTGCCAGAGTTCACTCAGCAAGCCTTCCCTGAGTGCCTGCCACCGCGTGCTAGGTTCTGTCCCGCACACAGGGATGCCTGCTCTGTGGTTCCTGCGTCTGAGTGCACAGCATGCGATGGAAAGTGGACACAGCACGCAAGGGAAGGACACAGCGTGGCAGAGGCGATGCACACTGTGGAAAGTGAAGGGGCAGGGCAAGGGGCTGAGAGCATGGCCAGGGCTCACCGAGAAGGTCACAGCTGAGCAAGGACTTGATGGAGGGGCCCTCGATGGGGAGCCAGTGTCAGGCCTTCTATGAGGCGTAAACTAGCTAATGCCTACAAAGGTAGCACCAGTGAGCAGCCGCTGTTACTGAGATCATCTCTGCCCCCATAGCCCCAGAAGCATCAGCGCCCTCTGGGTCGAGGGCACGGGCCTGGGTCTGAGCTGTCTCTCGGCCTGGGTGAGCACGTTCCACCCCCCTCCCGGTAAAGACCAGCTCCCTGCTCCACACTGCCAGTGGCCCCAGCCCACATGCTCTCCAAACATCTTCCTACAAGACAGCCAGCCCCTACCACACAGCCTCTACACCGCACTTTGTCAAATCGCCATACAAAGCCCAGCCTCAGCACACACATGCACATCATGCACGCACATACTCTCACACAGGCACACGTGAATGCACACACACCTTCACACCACACATGCACATACACATAGGTGCACATGTACAGGAGCATGTGCACACAATGAACCACATACACGCATGCACCATGCATGCACACATATACATGTGCACATGCCATATTCGCACACATGTGCATGAACACACACGTGCACACACACACACACACTTGCCCGCCTCTCCTGACACCACCGCCATACACTCCTTCTCAGAATCTATGCACACCCCACATTGCCCAGACCTGGTCTCCTGACAGCCCGCTTCTGATTCCTCCCTGCCCTGAGCCCTCCAGAGTCTCCTGCTAATCATAAACGACACTGACATTCCGTCGTCAATGCTGCTTCTGCTCAGGGACACTTCACCCAGCTCTCATTCCTCACACAGTCCAGGAAGAAGAGATTCCTGCTCTTCCTGTGTAAGGACGAGGCCCCGAGGACAGAAAACTGCTGGGACTGGCCCAGGCAGGCCCTGGGGCTCCCAATATGCAGCTCGAATGCCAGTGCCAAGCATCCCTCGCCCCAGCCTGGCCCTGCCCTGGTCTCCAGGGACAGAGCTCCCTGCTCACACAGCGCCCCCACCTGGCCGACCCATGGGCAGCTCACACTCAGGGCCCACTCTGGCCTCCGGATCTTCCTCCCTGCTGTGGCCCCACCTCCACCTCCCCCCTCAGTCGTCCTGATTCCCAGCCAGCAGCCTGGGAGTGGTCTAGCCTTCTCCTGCCCCCACGCCCACTTCCTGCCACCAGCAGGCTGCTCACTCCAGCCCCGCCCCCGATGCTGTGCCCCGACCAGGCCGGTGTCAGCGCCCTCCCGGATGCTTCTGCATCTGGATGATCCTGCAGTGGCCACCTCCCTGTGCCACGCTTGCCCTCTGAGCCCCGACACCCCTCTGCTCTTACAGCCCGAGCTGGTGGCTCTTCCGCTTAAAGCCCTCCCAGCCCTCCTCTTCTCAACATAATATGCAAACACCACCATGACACCCACAGCCCCTGCCGCGGGGCCTGCACACAGTAGGTGCTCAGTAAGGAGGGGCTCTCCATGCTTCTTCCAGTCCCCCAGCCCCACGAACACCCTCCACTCGTCATCTGGGCATCCATCGCCAGCCCCCTGGAGGGCTCAGCTCCTCAGCCCTCCAGCAAGCTCCACCCTGCTCTGAGCAGCAGTCGGCATTTCCCTGGCACAGTCGCTGCCCGGGATGCTGATAAAGACCCGCTCCTGCACGCTGGGTATGGCGCGGGATGCCTCGTATCTAATCTGATGGAGTAATGCTGCAAAGCAGGCAGTACTTTGAGGACGAAGGAATCAAGGCCCAGAGGGGTTAAGTGACCAGGAGTGGCAGAGCAGGACGCAGGGCCAAGTCTGCCTGTGCCCACCTGGCCTGGGCCACCTGAATCCTCTACACTCCCAAACCAGCCAGTGCCCCACCTGCTGCTCCTTGGAAGAGCCCTCCATCCTCTGCTCCATTCTCCCTCAGGACCCCCTTGGACCCACTCCCATCCCCGCCACACTGTGGAAGCTGCCCATGCCAAGGTCACGATGACCTCTGCCTTGCCCAGCCAGAAGGCCTGTCCTTAGCCCCTCCTACCTAGCCATTTGGTGGCACCTGATGCGGCTGGTGTGCCAGCTTGTCTTGATGCTGGATTTCCATCTGGTTTCCTGGGCCCCCACCTCCCTCCCCTTACCCATGGAGGGCCTGGCTCGGCTTCCGCCCCTTCCTCGATCCCCTGCTCCTCTCCAGCCTCTCGGAGGTTTCTCATCTGGGATCGATGGCCCGGGCCATGAACAGAGCCACATCCCAGGATAGCTGATTCCTTGTAACCCCACCTCGCCCATTTTATGCCTTTAGAGACATTATTCTGAGATGTTGTCCACAGGCCTCACTGGTCGCAAAGAGGCTAAGGCCCCTGCATGCCCACAAGTGCCCCCGTCACCCCACGGTGACTCTCCTAGCATCAAGCACCCAGCCTGGCCTCACTCCTGAACATCAGATGCCCATGGTCACGCCCCATGAACCACTCCCACCCCCGCCACATGTCAGCAGCAGCCCCAGCCTTCCAGAGCCCCAACCAACACCCTGGGCAGCCTCCTGTTCCTCCTTCCCACAAGGGAGCCTGTCGAGCCCCAACCCATGGCTCCCACCCCGCCGGCACCCCCTCCTCCATGCAGGCTCCTGTCCCATCCAGAGAAAAAGCCCAAGCACTCCAAAGGCTGCAGCCCCTTAGGCCTGGCCCTCGCCCCTCTGCTCCAGGACATGCCAGCACATGCCTGCCTCAGGCTCTGCCCTTCTCTTCCCCGCCTGCAGGGCCCACGTCTCCCAGACCTTGAACCTGGTCCCCAGTCTAAGTGACCTCCCTGACCTCTGATAAGATGGCAGCCTGCTTTGGGCCAGCCAGCCTGCTTTGTCCTCTGCGAGGCCCCTCATGCCTGGCACGCCTGCCCATGGGACTTATTCTTTGGTGCACTCCACCTCCCCTAAGAAGGCGCCTGGAGAGAGCACCTAGAAACAAGGCAGGCGCAGGCGGTGGTGGCTAACTCCTGAGTGCTGTGTCCATGTTTCGTACGGCCATACCACATTCAACCCCGAAATTCCCCCTCCTAGCAACATCTCCAAAGAGCCCCCTCTGCTCACTGTCTCGACGAAGCCCCTGTCCCCTGCCCCAGGACCATCCTCCACTCCAAGGCTCCTGCAGGCCCTGGACCCCCACCATGGCAGCCTCTGGCCCATTAGAACTGTCTTGCCTGAGAGAAAGGCGGAACCTCTCGCAGCCAGGAACCTAACCCCCCCACCCCCCATCCTGGAGGAGATTGGGCGCCGTTGCTCACACCCATTCATTCATTCAACACGCAACAAGCACCCACCACATGGCAAGCCCCATGCCGGGCCCAGGCTTCCTACCCCCACACACCTGCAGCGAACTTAAACTCTGTGTACACAGCTTCCCTGATGGGGATGCTCGGGGCAGCCCTGGGGGTGAAGACCCTCACACACCTCCCTGGAGTCCACAAGGCCACCTCTAGATCCTCTCCCGGCCGGTCACTCACCTGCAGTGCCATGCCCACCCCTGTCCTGGGTCAGGCTGGTGAGGCAGTTCTCCGGACCACCAGCCACGCCATCCCTCAAGCAGACATCCCCACGGGGGACCAGGGGACTGGAGGCAGGGTCACCTGCGTCGCCGCCCAGGCACGCACAGGGGGTCTGCATGATGCCACAGGGATGTGAGCTGCGGCTGCCGGCCAGACAGGCATCCAACCAGCGGCACAGCATCTGGCAGGCAGCCCGGCTAGGGTTGCGGTTGCCCACCACCAGGTATTCGGCAGAGAAGTCGTCGCCCAGGCCTGGGGGCCCGCCCAGGAGGCTGAGGTCGTCGTCCTGGGGCGGCTGCTGGCGCCGCATCTGCAGGAATTGCTTGCTGGCCTGCAGGAAGGCAAGGGGCGCTGAGGGGTCACAGAGCCGCAGCACCTCGTCGAAGCTCTCCACGCCCAGGTAGGTGCGGGTGGACTCCAGGAAGGAGTCGAACTGGTAGGTGCGGACGTGGCTGGGGCCACTGCAGGGTGCCGGTGCCTTAGCCACCTTCATGTAGAGCGTGTAGCGCCGCGGGTCAGGGTTGCGCAGAGTCCAGGAGCAGCGCGAAGCGTTGGCCGGGAACACGGCGGCCGCTGAGAAGTAGCCAAAGAACTTGCCCTGCACCACCGTGGCGCACGGCTCGGCCCCAGGCCCCGCGTCAGCCCCGGCAGCCGCCCGCGCCCGACGACCCAACAGCAGCAGCAGCAGCAGCAGCA